TGATGTTTTATTTTAATTGCATTGCTTCCTTAAAATTAAAAACTCTTGTTTCCCTCTAGTTTAAATCCCAGATTCTATTGATTTCTGTATAACAATAATTGGGCAAGTATGTGTGATTCGTTTGGCCTCTCCACAGCTACTTAATGATGTCTTATTTTAGTTGCATTCCTTTCTTAAAATTAAAAACTCTTCTGTTTCTTTCCTCTAGTTTAAATTCCAGATTCTACTGATCTCTGTATAACAATAAATAAATCTCCCAACCCGAAGCAAGCTACTGAACCTTCCATACAAGAAGAGTGTCTACAGTAACAAACTTTTGTCGTCGCTAAAATAATCTTCATAAAAAATTCTGGATGGTGAATGCCAGCCAGGGGACATTCCCCCAGTTCTCCAGACGTGGATTCCATAGGTTGACGTTTCTGCAAAACGTTCATCAAAAAATAATATTTATCGGCCCATTGTCCGCGAGAATCGCACCTCCATGGCCGACGAAGATTCGATAAGTGGACGGCACGCGAAAGGAATTCCCGACATGTCCGGCGAGTGAATTAGGCTCATTGGAATTTCACTTTGGTTACAAGCTGGCTTTCGTGCCGCCAAGTATGGTCCCCATGACCCGGTAGCCGGATACGATACGGCGACGTGCAACTATCGCCTGTCTCTCTGTCATTAACACGTTGACTGCCACGCCAATTTTCCTTATCTAAAGAAGTCATCGACATTTGTCCAAATTACAGCTTTTCGAGTCGATTAAATGGATCGAGATTGCTCGTCTCAAACGTGAATCGAAAGTTAGCGTAGAAAAAACAAATACTCGTGATTCGATAATTGGTTACAGAAATAAGATTTAATCGTTTCTTTCAGATAAGAAGTTAAACGTTCGGCCACGATGCCATACTACAACAGCGGACACAGTCCTTCCACTTACAAAGGTAATAATGACAATAATATTTGTACTTTTTAATATTCGATACGCTGCAACGTAATTTTAGCAAATAGTTTCGTAATATTTTATGAATTACTTTAATTCAGTCTTGTATTAAAAGAAACTCGTATCGAAAGTATCTAATGGCACTTTCTCGGTAATTAAAATCCCATTAGCACAGAAACTACCAAGGTTGTTAATCCTATTCTACTTCAAACTTCTTTTTGAAATCATTCCCCAGAAAAACATGTACGTATAAATACAGAGAGTTCAATGATAAATTAATGGGTGTAATATTTATTTCGAGCAACTTCTTTCTCTTCGCTCTCTTCCTACCATCAAAAATGGCGAATGGATGCGGACTAGCTTCCATATTCGTCAATCATTCATTGCTCGTTTACATTCCCACATTCCACGGTATGAAAGAGCAACGCGCAATTAGGTTGTTAACCCTCTATTGCATAATGTGCCCCATCGGGAACCCGGTAAAAACGGATCCTGTAAAGTTCACCGTGGCAATGGCGATGTTTTCTTATGGACTCATCCAACGACTCTGCGGATTCATTCGCTTCTCGCTGGAATATTAATCGATAGGGTTAAAAATACCAGTGACATTTCTCGATGGACTCCCAACAATGTAACTCCGCAATCTCGAACAAGCTACTATTACCATTTTATATTTTTAAACTTCGTTTTACGTATGTATTTTATGTTCGTTTAAAAATATATTTTCTTCATATTTAGAATTCATTTTTTGTAAGTAAAATCAACATACAAGTATAGATATAGTACAGATAACTTCGTCTTTCCAAATTTCAGTAAATTCTTTGAATACATTCTGAAGATGACCGTAAAACAAAATGAAAGCTTCCAATAAATAGCTAATTCGAGGATGTAGTGTTACCATTCTTTAATTTGCATGCATGCAAGCATCTCCCATGAATATTCGCGATAATGGTACTAATGGGAATCACGGTGTGGATCCAGATGGAGGCTCCAGTGGGCCATCGAGCACATCGGGCGGCCGAGTCAGTAGCTCCGAGCCGACGTACATGATGGAGCATTTGGCCACGTTCACGGTCACGAAGGAAACCGGTATTGTTTATCCAACGGACGGTATGCGGCGACTTCTGCAGTTGGAGAAGAGTAACGGCATCTGGAGCCAAAAGATGCAGCTCCGTCTGGAACGGAACTGGGTCCTGATCATGGACAACGAGACAGGGGTAATAGATCCTTGACACAGTATAATTATACGAAAAGA